TTGGAATATTTTTATTACAGAGTGAAAATAAGTGAAAGTATAGGAATATTTAAAATTTGTCATTTTCTGCCACATAAATGGCTTGAAAAAATGAAATCTGAAGAAAATTTTTGCTTTTCCATATGTAGAGCCAGAATTTTGGATTTCTTACAGCTGTATTGAAGCCCAATTTACTAGTGAAAATGGAAACCCAACTTAGTGGCATTTATTGCTGAGGCAATAGAGGCTGAAGTGAAATCAGTTATTGCCAGGGCAAAGGAAAATTCTGGGGTTTCTTTTTTTGTACAGGAAACTTAGAGTTAGTGATCAGTACTTTCAAGAAAGAGTACGTCCTACTGGGTGGCCCTTTCTGAATGCAGCAGAACACACTTTGAATAAAATTTTGCTAATGTTTCCTAATTGTCACTCCTGTGATATGTCAAATGGACAATATTTGGTCAGTCAGCAAGTATAATGGCATGAAAGCTAATTTTATTCCAAATAGGAATTAGTATGCAAAATATGGGCTTTTAAGACCTTGCTCCAGCATTCCGCAGCACTTTTTCCAGTTTTGTGGACCAGAAATGTTGTGTCAGGTGATGATTGCATTAGAACTTAGATATTTTGTCTCTGTATTCTTGTCACGTTTTCTGCATCAGCAGGAAAACTATACATTGAACTTTAGGCTGGAATACATGTTGTTCAGTTACTTTTCATAAGAGCTGATGCTGCATATGACAAGTACTACATGCGTGTACTAAATGCATTTGCAGAACTTGTGAAGTCCTACAGGCTGTGAGTGAAGAGGACAAAATATATTACGTTACCTCACCACCTCCACACATGAGTGGCCATCAGCCCAGGGACTTTGTGATTCTTGTGTCTCGAAGGCAACCTCTTGAGCCCAGGTGAGCACAGAACTTCAAGTTGAGCTGTGAGCTCTGGACCCATAATTTGAATTGCTGCTAACCTCTACCAAGCCTGTTTGATGGCAAAGATACTTAATTTCTTACGATAAATCAGATGAGCAGCCAATTCAAAATATACATGGATACCTGAGACTGCACAGACAGATCTATTTTGCAAAGTGGACATACAATGAAGTGAGTTCAAAGCATCCCAGATTTCTAGCATATTCTAGCATTGCTTGTCTGATAATGACTCTTCAGGAGTGGTGTATCATGACAGAAAACAGGCCCGAGTTCCAAATGGCACCTTGGCAAAGCATGTTCAGATCCAGAAGTACATGATTGAGAGTTTGTTTTTTAAAAAATTACTTTGTAGTCTCATTTAATGTAGTTCTGGAAGAATCAGGGAAATGCCTGGACTTCACCAATACCTCAGTGTGATACATCTATTGTGTCAGAAAATGTTGCTGCTAAATGTTGTTTAAAGAAATCTGCTGATTTAACATAGATTGATTTTTCATTAGATTTCCTTTTGTTATAATGAAACATGGATAAATGGGGCTGTTTAGTCTATTTTGTGTATGTTATTCCTTATTTTCACTATAATTTTTTATATTCTACAATTCTTCATGTTAATGGTACATCACTTCTATTCTGTACCTTGCTCGGATTCTTCTCCCCACATCTGGTAACCTGGATTTAGTTTGTCAGTGCTGGGACCATATCCATGTCTATCCATGAACTAAGGCCCTAATGCTGTAAACTTGGTTCATGAGGAGCTGGGGGAATTGGGGAAAAAAAAAAAAAACCACCACAAAAAAAAAAACCCACAAAGCCAGACAGAAAGGAAATGTGTTGTAGCGATCATTCTTTTACTTTTCACACAAGTCCTCATGATTTGAGTCCGTAACAAAGCATTTTCAAGATAAATGAGCTTTTTTACACGTTTTAAGCATACAGGAGCATACTTGCCTTAATATAAAAATGACATCTAATAAAAAAATTTTGTCTGTAGTTGAGGTCCTTTACATGCATTTTTTAAAAATATTTTTTTTTAAAAAAAAGTTATGTTTTTCTGCTTGCACTGCAGTGAACCATACATAGTAGCTGTGAAGTCAGTAACCCTGACATCTGTGCCACCTTCTTCTGAACACTGCAGAAGTGAAATCCTGTGTGCTGGATTCCAGATCTACAGTGACAGCAGCAGCTCCTGTAGGGTGAGTTGCTCTGAAGGCCTCATCTGTGCCTCCTTTCCTTTGGTGCTGCACGTGCATGTGATCTTATTTGAGCTGACAGTCTAGAACAGTAGTAACAATAAAGGAATCAATTTATCCAGACATCTGTTAGGTTATCTTTATTCCAGTGTGTGGAATTTGTTTTGCCCAAATTCAGCCAGTGTGAAAGTCAGGAATGAAGTCAAACTAAGCACTAAATAGAGACTGGCAGCTCTGGAGAATCATAGAATGGTTTGGGTTGGAAGGGACCTTTAAGATCATGTAGTTCCAACCCCCCTATTATAGGCAGGGACACCTCCCTCTAGACCAGGTTGCTCACAGCCCCTTCCAGCCTGGCCTTGAATGCTTCCAGGGAGGGGGCATCCACAGCCTCTCTGGGCAACTTGTTCCAGTGTCTCACCACCCTCACAGTAAATCATTTCTTCCTTATATCTAGTCTAAATCTCCCTTTTTCCAGTTTAAAGCCATTTCCCCTTGTTCTGCCACTGCACGGTGTTATAAAAATCCCTCCCCAGCTTTCCTGTAGGCCCCTTCAGATAGTGGCAGGCTGCTACAAAGTCCCCCTAGAGCCTTCTCTTTTCCAGGCTGAAGAGCCCCAGCTCTCTCAGCCTGTCCTTGTAGGGGAGGTGCTCCAGCCCTCTGATCATCTTTGTGGCCCTCCTCTGAACCCACCCAGCAGCTCCATGTCCTTCTTGTGTTTGGCCCCAGAAGTGGTAGCAGTACTCCAGGTCTCATGATAGCAGAGTAGAGGGGCAGAATCACCTCCTTTGACCTGCTAGCCACACTTCCCTTGATGGAACCCAGGATACTGTTGGCCTTCTGGGCTGCAAGCGCACGCTGCCTGCTCATGCTGAGTCTTTCATCAACTGACATTCTCAAATCCTTCTGCTCAGGCTGCTCTTAAACCATTCTGGGCCCAGCCTGAATCTGTTCTGGGTAGTTCAATTAATCATAAAATAAGCTTCGCTTCTTGAAGGGTGTGCATTCTCCTGATGTTTGATGGTGCTTGTCTGCCCTCACTGAGTACAGAGGATGCCCAGGGAATAAGTTCTCATTTAATGTTTAGTTTCTCTGTAATTATGCAATCTGAACCTTGTCCCTGGACAAGCAACAATGTCTCTCTCCTCTGTTGTTTTCCAACTTCCTAACTTTTTAATTTCAGAAAGTGTATTTCTGAAAACATCGAGTATCTCTCATTGGATGAGATTCTCTTTTCAGGCAACGGTATTGTTTGTGAAACACATCTGTGGGAGGTGAACTAGATGATCCTCATGTGTCCTTTCTAATTCGGGGCACTCAGGGAATTCCATGATATATTTAACAGATTAGACAGTGTTTCCTGCTGAGCTCCTGTGTATATGTATGTATATTCTTTAGGACCTGGCATTCTGATTACTGTAAGACTACAGAGTCTTTTTGCTGAGCCTTGCTTTCACTTTCACAGTGCTTCTAGTGCTTATGTGCATCTGTTCTCACCCACAGAAACTTTGATTCTCAGCTAGTCTCTGAAATAAAAGGGCTAACTATTGCAGTCCAGGGTTCTTAATTTATATTGTTTTTATTTAAACAGGTGTACTACTTCAATCAAATGACATCAAGTCTTATGCCTCACTTAGCTGCAGGTCTTACTGGCTCATTAAACACTGTTGAAGACACAGCTTTGGAGTGTATTAAGTTCTTGGAGCTGAAGGGCAGCAAGTGCTGAAGTTAACACAAAGTTGTGAAAAGAGTGTGAGAAACTGTCAAGCAGTATTAATTTAAGTTTTTGCATATGTGTTAATTGTTCTACAAGTTACTTTGAGTCATGCAGCTGACAGTGGACTAGAGCTGGATTTTGTGTCAAATTAGGATTAGACTGCATGCTCTAAATTCAAGTTTTCTATTAAAAAAAAAGATTAAGGCACAAATTCTGCTCTTAAATCTGTATTTCATTGTTGGATTGGGCCTGGTGACATCCAGTCACTACTTACTAGTTTTAAATTAGTAAATACTAATCAGTCTAATATGCAGAGGACTGGTACTACCAAGTAGCCTGTTCACTTCTCTGTTCAGTTTGCCCAACTCTTGCATGTGCATTACATGTTCAGCTACTACGCCCTACAGCAAATGTTTGTCATCTGTTAATGCCTGTAGTTTGTGTGAAGAAATGTGAAGTTCCAAACCCACAGCCTCAGTGCCTTGTGCTCAAGTATCTCAAAAACCAGTTCTGAGCTCAAGTTTGTTGTCTGGTGTTAGTTCTGCGTTCTCAGCAGGATTCTGCATGAACTAACTTTAATGATAACTAATTCTTTAGAAGCAACACCTTCATTACCATTTAGCTTTCTGTCAAAGACAGTTGCTTATTAATACATAATGCAAGCTGAAAATTTAGAAGGCACATGTAAGGCCTTCAGAGCACTGCCTGCAATACAGCACTGAGAAGCCTGATGGCACAGGTGCTTGAGTCCACATCTGTACAGTGGAGGGGAGCACAGCACAGAGATGCAGAACAGCACCTGCCAATGCTGTGCCCAGACCCCAGTTCAGAATGAAAGCAGCACGTGAGCGGAGCTTGGAATGTACTCCTCTACTTGCACTGTGCTTGCCTGTTCAACTTAGATGACAGAATAAGATGCAAGTAAAACTCTGTCACTGTCAGCTGCACAGGAAGAAACTTGAGAACATATGGAGACCTACTGCAGGAACTCCATCCTTCATTGGCTTGAGGAAATTTTGAAATTTTGATTTCCAAGTGCAGGCTGCTTTCTCTATAATATATATATCTCCACTATGAAGTAAGTACATGTAACTAACAGAAGGGAAAGTTTACTTCCAATACCCCAATGGACCAAAATTTTTGGGTGCTTTTCTTAAAAAGTAAACTACGCAAGCTCCCTTGCTCTCCAGAGCAGGGGGCTCAACCCCAAGCTGCTAGAGCTCAAGGAGCATTTGGACAATGCTCTCGTTGTCATGGGGTTTGGATTTTGAGAGGTCCTGTCTGGAGCCAGGGGTTGAACACACGATTCTAATGGCTCTCTTTTTCAAGTGAGTTTCATAACGCATATCTGAGAAAGAGCATGATTTGGCTTACTGGTGAAGTACTCAGGTAATTAAACATGCATAATCTATCAGATTATTGCTTGTACACACTAACTGATCCATCATGTATAGCAGGAATTGTACCCCCAAGCTCTCCAGGTAGAAAGCTCAAGTCACATAAGGTGTAGCTTTACCTGATAACTTAGCTGTCAGACAGCTCAAGTGTGCACATACACTGCACAAAATCATTCAAAGAAACAAAACCAATCTAGAATACAATTGATATTTAGAAAATGCCTGCAACCCCTTTCAAAGAAAGAGAGGCTTAAGATCAGCATAATTGTATTCGTCTCCAATACAGCAACATCCTTAAGGTAATGCTACTGATCACCTAAATCGAGTGGTCATAAAGCCCTGTGACAGAATGCACGTATCCCTATGCTTTCACTGCAACTACACTGCATGTTAGCAGAGAAAACCAACTTTCCTCTTTAGAGAATTAGCAGAAGAAATGCTTTCCTGCAAAAAAAAAAAAAAATATATATATATATATATATATATATATATATAAATAAACACCTTCTTGATGCATTTCTGTTGTTCCCAGATTTTCAGTCTGCTGGATAAATCTGAATTGAACTGAAAAAAGCAGGGATACAGACCCAGCAGCAGCAGTGTGCTTGGTTTTCAGGAAGCAGCAATCCACTCTACGCAGTCACTTCACTGAAGTGAAGCAGTGCACAACCACTGCAGTTTAGCACCCAAAGGAGGCTTTCAAAAATTAATAACTTTCAGTACTTTCACTTTGGGTTTCTGTAGCTTGGTTGTTTCTGTTGTTTCTTCATCATCAGCACTCATTCCATTGGCCCATCGCCCAACTGTAACCTGGTCTGCAGAGTAAGAAACAAGAGTTTATGGAAAGACTAAACATTATCATCAGATTGAGCTTTCAGATTTGAGAAACATTTGGCCCATAAGGGCCTGCTTTTGGTTCAGCAAAGATCTCTCAATTTAGACACCTGAAACCAATTGCCTTCAACAAGTGTGTGTTTGTGTTTTGTACCCCAATCCCCCCCCCACCAGATTTTAAATGTTCCAAAATCTTATGCATCCCTTCCTATTTGACTGTCCAAAAATTCAGAGGGTACACAAAAGACACATTAACTCTGAAGTCCTAATAACTCTTGTGTGAAGATTTCACAATGTGTCAGGCATCTCTGAATGTAAAGGAAAGCATTCTTGAAGAGAGAAAAATAGAGAAAAAATTACATTTCTCAACTTACCTCCCTAAATATAAATAAACACTTTTCCCCTCCCCCATTTTAAATATTATTTTGACCAGTTCTCTTTCCTACTGTTCATTATACTGCCCAAAAGCAGAAAAAGTTGCAGGGATGTTTATTTTAACCTTGTCTACAAAATTACAGTGGCTCTACAAATCAGCACTTGCTAGCTCCTATTAACTGTCATACATATGTGCACACCACTATTCCAGACTGGACCAAGCAATTTAATGACTGCAGCCACTCATGTGAAGGAGCAACTTCTTACAGGTTGCCTTCCAGACTCCTTGCATAGTGGATCTTTGCTGGCCAGCACTACCCACTGCTCATGAGCATTTGGTGGAAAGAGATGGCTTGCCTTTCAGCAGTGCTGTTTCCCACAAATATTTCTTTTCTCCTACAGCATCTGCACAGGATTTCCATTTACAAAAGGTATTAAGCATGCAAAAATATTTTGCTGCTAACAGAGTGTGCAGAAGCCCGGCAAGAGACATCACAGGTTTGCAGCAGTTCTCTGACAGGCACCGTCCAAACCAATCTGCTGTGGCTGGTAGGTTTGGCAAAAACAAAACAAAAACAGAAAAAAAACCTAGGTTTCACATCAGAAACTTCTGAGAGCAGTAAAGACTCAACATCACTCGTTCCAAACTAGCAAACCAGCACACATCTAAAATGGCACAGATGTGCTCTCAAACACAACACCTAGATTATATCGCATCTGTATGATCATTTAGAAAAAGCAGCTGAAGTACAGAACTCTGCTGCCTTTGTAAATGTTTTTCACATCAATTCTTCAGAAACTTATGGCATATTAACCCAAATGTTCTGCAGGTAGGAAAACCAACAAATGTTTCATCACTTCAGTAATGTGTCGTTCTCCAAAACTTGGACAGTTTTGCCTCTCAAATTATTTTTTTTTTGTGGGGTTTTTTGTTTTTGTTTTTTTAAAATAAAAGATACATAGAGTATCTCCTATACATATGAAACAGAAAGGAACAGATTTCTTCTGTCTAATGGTTTAAGAAAAATAAATGCCCTTAGATCATATCCTGGCACATAAATTGTATACCCCTATCATAATTAATATATTACAAAAATGCATTCTAATGTGTAACAAATACTGACGAATTCAGTGCAAACCAATTTGCAAGGAGGTAAAAAGAAAGAACTATCAGTGAACAAGGGAAGCTGTTCACCCAAAATACTTTCTATCAATGGCCTTACCACAAGGGAGGGCTCAGTTAAACATCAAACATTTCATTAAAAGCTAATCAGCTAAGCAGAATTGTAATCTACTTTTCTATCTGCACAGTTAGATGAAACCAGTGTATCAGCTGGCAAGTCTAGCAGGACTGGCCCGCAGTCTCTTCTCACAGCCCTTTCTCAGATGACTTAAATGCCTGCCTGCAGATGGAGCTTATAGCAACTGCCAGAACCACCACACTGCAACTGAAAAGACATTCAGCTTCTTCACACAACGTGCCTGCAAAATAAACCAATTCTGCATTTTTTCTGTTACAGCTGCTAACAATGTGAACAGCAACATAAAGAGACATTTACTCATACAACCCTCAGAAGCATACAAGCTAGATTTTTTAAAATTGAAAGTTCTTTTTGCCTAGCAACTCACAGTCTCCTCTCAATAAAAGCACACATTTTTAAGGGCAGTGTGCCATCTTGTTACTAGAAAGCTCTCTACTCGCACTCTATGCCACCTCCTGCACCTCACCTAAGTTCTGGTTTTCCGGACAGTCTTTTCTGTAATGCTCGACAGAGCCACAAAGTCTGCAGCAGCCACCTGTTAAAAGATAGAGTTGGAAAATAAAACTCTTGAAAATTTTTGTATTACACTTCTGTAGTGACAACCTGTAGAAAAGATGCATCTCCACAGACAGGTCAATGCTCCTAAGCACTATTATGTAACACCTTGCAGCAGATGAGCATACAGCTTTAGGAGCCAGCACACACACCTTCCCAGGACTCTGTATCTTACAAATAGCACCCACATGTAGTAGCGTAGCAAGGCTCTGTCAATCACTGAATAGTACAAATTTCACTCACCACATACAGGATGTTTCTGCTTACTTACAAGGAAGGCAGGCATTGCAAAATCTGAGTGAAATCTACACACTTAGGTGTAGAGACATTTCTCAATCAAATCACTTCACCTGATGATCTTTCTTTTGTGAGAGCCCTTTTTGTGAGTGCCACTGGGATACTGGGCAACTGTATGATCAAGTCAATCAGTAGAGCTGATTTCTTAGAACATCTGGAAGTCGTGGCCTATTTTTCAACTCTGAATTTCTCTTTGATCTTTTACAGTGTCACTTTCCATATAAGACAAATTATCTCTGTGTGTAACTATGACAGACCTTATTTTCTGCGAACACTTCTCATTGTCTCATTGTTGCTGAAGTGTTAAACTACAAAGGCTACTAAGGCCCTAAATAGACCAATGTATGTTTCTATCACATTCTAAGTTGTACGTAAATTGAAACACACATTGGCCACATACAAACAGATTATGGTTTTTTTGAAATACACTTGAAACTGTCAAGTGTAAGTAAATTCTCATACTCTGAACTTCACCTCCTCTTTAATGCTAAGATCAAAATTGAAATAGGAATCTCCAGATAGTGAATACTTATGATGAATTCTGTCAATTTGATCTGTGTTCACCAAGAATAAAAGACATCTGAAAGTTGCTCTTCTTAATCCAAAATGTTTCTTGGTTCTGTGTCACATAAGTAGGAAAAATATGTTTTATTTGCAACAGATCACTGCACTCACCTTCGGCATACAATCCTTTGGGATTGTCAGGACATGACCTTGATAGATGTCCCATCTCACCACAGATGAAACATTTTGCATATGGAAACGCACCTGCAAAATTCCACAGATTACAACAAAAGTTAAGAACACTGTATAGTCACAGACAACTCTGAAAACATTGTAAGAAACAGTATGATATAGGATAGTGTAACTGCAACGCCAGGTTTGTTGTTACAAGACTGTATTCCTTTAAACATACTAATCACTGTCTGCAGAACAGACCACAAATCAACGTATCAGTAGGAAGAAAACTCAGACCAAAGCACCCCGCAAAATGCAAACTTCTGAATCATACCAACAGCTGGGTCTATCTTTGCCTTGCATTTGCCAATGTCATGCTCTGTGGATCCACACCGGTAACAGATTCCTGTACCCATATCTTGACTTTCCAGTACAGCTGGACAATCGGCAACACCATGGCCAGGTTCCCTGCAGTGGAAACATACCTTTAAAAATAAAAAATGTTACATGCATTTTTATAAGCAGTTCACAGAGCAAAGCACAGCACTTACAGGTGGCATAACTACAGAGTTTTCTTACTTTTGTTATCTGATTATCATTTTTATCTGCCAGATTTCCACTAGGTCGCAGTGTATCTTGGCTGAAGCCTAGGAGGTGCTAATAAATACATATCTCTTGCACTGACATTTGAAGTTACTCCAGTATGTTAAGCCAAGGTTCAGTGAATAGCTCATAAAAACAAACAAAAATACAGCCTAACAAGGCCTCCAGGCTTTTCAGAAGGCAAGTATATCAACAGCTTAACACTTGAAACAAAAATGCTTAAGACAAAAGAGCCATTGCAGCACAAACAACTGCCAGTGGTCTCTGCCTCTAAACAGGGTGATTATTGGTGCTTTTTTCCTTCACCAGTAACGCATGCAGGATTTTTGTCCCAGGCCACTGGGAACTGAGCACTGCAGCTGAGTGACAACTTCTGATCCTCACTGCAGCAGAATTAGTTCCCTAAGATTGTTCTGGACATGTAAGAAGTAAACACAAGCAAAAACATGTCAGTACTGATGTCTCAAAAGCTGCTTATATGAGTTGCTGCATTGCAATTCATTTATAAACAAAAACTCATGGTAGTTTGTATGAATGAGTACAAGTCACTTTCTTTGCCATTGCAGAGTCCATTTAGAATAACTTAATGAGCGACCACTTTCAGGTGGTCTCATTTGGAGTTTGCTGGAGATCTCACTCCAGTTCTCAGGCAGAAGGTGCCGCAAAAAAACGATCCCACAACATGATGAAATTGCAAACGCACACAGGAACACTGCACTGTCACACAGAGAGACAGAAAACACATTTCACCCGGGAACAAGGCTGCCCATTCCCCAAAGCGCTGCAGATCAGCACGTAAGCAGAAAAGGCATGCCAAGGGTGAAATTCTCTTAAACTGCGTGTACTTAATGAAGTCCACTTACGCTAAAACTCACATTATAGAACCACAGGACCAAACCTCAGCAGGGATTCAACCCCGCTTAAGGCTGAGATGCTCCCTTCCCCTCTACCACCGCGGGCACCCAGCTCACCATGGCGTTTTTCCTTGCCTCCTGCCTCCTCAGCCTCCTGCCTTCCCGCCTACGGTCCTTCTTCAGGGCGGCCGCCGCCGCCTCCTCCTCCTCCCGCCCCCGGCCGTTCCCCGCCTGCTTCAGGTACGCCGCAAACCCATTGACGTCTTCGTTTTGGTACGTTTTTTTCCTTTTATTCTTCCTCTCCGGCCCGCCCTCCGCGGGCCCCGCCGCCATCTCCTCCCAGGGCGTAGACTTCAGCGCCTTGCCGCCCGCAGCGGCGACTTTCCGAGCCCACCTGGTCATAGCTGCAGCCGTCCTCACAACTCCCGCCGGAAGCGGAACTCCGTCCCCGCTGCTGCCGGCGCGGCGTGTCGTCACTTCCTCCTTCCACCGGAAGGGCAGCTGCCGCTCGGCGTTCCGCCGCCATCTTGGGGACGGGCGCTTGTCTGTGGGGAGTGGTGTGTGCGGACGCGGTGGCTGCAGTGCCTGCTTTCTTCTGGTTACGCTTCCTAGCCTTATAGCAGAGTTCTTGCAGGTCGGGAGCTCTGCAGGTGCAGTTGTGCTGGCTTAACCGCTTAGCCTTGAGTAAAAATAGTGCTTTATCACAGAACCATGAGGTTGCAAAAAACCTCTTAAGATCATCGAGTCCAGACATCAGCCCATCCCCACCGTGCCCGCTGACTGTGTCCCTCAGTGCCACATCTCCACGTTTCTTGTTAACCCATGGGGACAGTGAATGACTCCACTGCCTCCTGGGCAGCCCATCCCAGTGCCTGTTCACTCTCACTGACAAGAAATTCTTCCTAATACCCAACGTGGACCTTCCCCGGCACAACTTGAGGGTAGTCTCTCTTGTCCTAACACTGTTATGTGGGAGAATGGCCCAAGCCCTACCTTGCTACAACATCACCTTTCATCAGGAGTGGTGCTGATGGCATCAGAGCGGTCCCTTCCTGCTGAACCTGATTGAAAGCCCAGAACCAAAAAACTCCCACTGGAACTGGAATTGGTCACACTTCTGTCTAGATTGCCCCATTAAGGTCACAACCTAAGCCTCTGGGACTGCATTGTTCTAAATCCCAGCAGAGCAACCCAAGAACAAAATACAGTAAGAACTTGATTTCTCAAGTCAGTCTTATTAGCATTTCTCTAGATCTCCACTGCCATTCTTGAATGGATAGAAAAGCTGGACAACATTCCTTCTTTATTAGTCATCTTCAGTGTTTGTTACTCCCTCGAGAAGCAGACTTGGTGTTCTTCGCTGATTTTCCAAGGCTTTGCTTCCACTAGAGGGAGATAAATGTGCACAAAGAGGGCACTGATGTTGTGTGTTTTTGCTGTTAAGCAGAATCGTCAGCAAGAACCAGCACGGATTTGGGAGTAATAAAAAGTGTGTGTTTTGCAGCCAAAAATAATGAATGCTATTTAAAAGCTCCTGTTAATAAATTAGGAAATAAAATCAGAAGGACTCCAGATTTGATTTTAAAACTAAAAATAATAAATTTTGCCAGTGACGTTACAGTTCAATTACAACTTGAGGTCCTGGCTTTTCTTACAGAATACTGCTGGCAAATCTGTAGTTCAGGAATGTCCAAAGCTAATTCTCATAAATGGCTACTGGAAACAGCACCAGTGCATGGTATGGAACATAAAAGCAGCTATGGGTCCCGTAGATATCTAACACAGCTGCTGATCTCCTCCACACCAAACTTGCAGCAGATAGGCCTGCAGCTGCCCTGCTGGTAAAACAATACAAGGAAAAGCTGAAGAGCAGCATCAGCAAGAGCAGTAGAGTTCTGCTGAAGTACAAGTACTGTCATCTCTTTTTGCGGTCTGAAATCTTCTGTGCATTATGTCCCTAGAAGACAGTGCCCCTTAGGGTCCCCAGTCACATTTACAGCCACTGAAGAAAGCTGTTTAGTATCTTTCTGCTGAACCAGTAAGACAGCATTCCCTGTACAATAGTCTTTAGCAGTGATCACACCTGTGCTGGTTTGGATTTTAGTTTCAACTTAATTTCAGTCACCTGGTAGCTCTGCTGCACACAGGCAGCAGGTGAGAAATGAGCAAGACAGCAACCATGAAAATCATGGTAAAAATGTATGACTTCTCCCCCTCCCTCCCCCCCCTCTCCCCACTATACAGCATTCAAAATGCTGTAGAATTGCCTGTCCACAGCACAGTCGGGGCAGCAGAATCTAAAGCATGGATGTCCAATCTTTTGGCTGGCTGGGCTGTGTGGAGTGACGAGGACTTGTCCTGGGCCACATATAAATTAGTTAATGTATATAAGAAATATATTTTTTTTATTTTTAATACATAACATTTTTAAATACGTACTTTTAGTCTTGTGCTTTTATCTGTGTTTTAGATTTTATAATAAAACATGTAACTTCTTACTTTCACACACACACAGAAAGAAAAGTAGCAGTTAAATACACAATTTACAAATTCTGAGGAAAAGTGAATTAATGTAGGTATATTGAGCGTTTTCAACAGGCAAGAAGAAGGCTGAGTTGCTTAATTTTTTTGGGTTTTTTTTCCTCAGAATTCTCACATAACTGCTTGCCACACAGCCTTCAAACATTTGGTTTGGTACAAGACTATCAGGGAAGCAAAATACTTCCCACTGTAAGTGAAAATCAGGTTCGTGGCTACTTGAGGAAGCTGAGCATCCATGAATCTATGGATCCTGATGAGATGCATCTCAGAATCCTGAGGGAGTTGGCTAATGCGGTTGCCAAGTCACTCTATATGATACTTGAAAAATTGTGGCAATCAGATGAAGTCCCTGGTGACTGGAAAAAAGGTAACATCATACCCATTTTGTAAATGGATGAAAAAGATGACCCTGGGAACTAACAATTTGTCAATGCTTCTCTGTGCCAGGGAAGGTCACAGAACAGATCCTTCTGGAAGCAATGCTAAGGCACATGAAAGGAAGGGAGGTGATACAGGAGAACCAGTATATGGCTTAACCAAGGGTTAATCCTGCTTAACCAATCTGGTGACCTTCTGTGACATTGTCACTGCATCACTGAACAAGGGAAGAGCCACTGGTGTCATCCATCTGGACTTCAGTAAGGCCTTTGACATGATGCACCACAACTTCCTTCTCTCCAAATTGGAAAGATACGGATTTGATGAGTGGACTGTTCAATGGATGAAGAACTGTCTGCAGGATTGAGTCCAGAGAGTGGTGGTCAGTGGCTCAGTGAGTGGATGGAGATTGGTGCTGAGTGGTGTCCCCCAGGGTTTGGTGCTGGGGCTAATACTCTTTAATATCTTCATCAGTGGCACTGACAGTGGGATTGAGTGTGCCCTCTGCAACTTTGCTGATGACACCACGCTGTGGGGTGCGGTCAGCACAGCAGAGAGACATGATGCCATCCAGAGGGACCTAGATAGGCTTGAGCAGTCAGGAGAACCTCATGAAATTCAACAAATCTAAGTGCGAGGTCTTGCACCTGGGTCAAGGCAGCGCCCATTACCAGTACAAATTGGGAGATGAAAGGATTGAGCAGAGCCCTTCTGAAAAGGACCTCTGGGTACTGGAGGATGGCAAACTGGACATGAACCAGCAGTGCACTTTTGCAGCCCAGAAAGCTGACGGTATCCTGTGCTGCATCAAAGGAAGTGTGGCCAGCAGAGCAAAGGAAGTGATCCTGCCTCTCTGCTCTGCACTGGTGAGGCCTCATTTGCAGTACTGCCTGCAGATGTGAAGTCCTCAGTACAGGAGAGACATGGACCCTTTCGGGTGGGTCTAGAGAAGATGATCCAAGAGGTGGAACATCTCTCCTTTGAGAACAGGCTGAGAGAGCTGGGGCTCTTCAGCCTGGAGAAGAGAAGGCTGTGGGGTGACCTGATAGTGGCCTTTCAGTATCTAAAGGGGAGCTACAGAAAAGAAGGGGACAGACTCCTTAGCAGGGTCTGTAGAAGAACAAGCAGAAACAATCTCAAGCTCAAAGAAGGGAAATTTGGGTTAGGAACAAGGAAAAAATCTTTTACAGGGAGAGTGGTGAGGCCTGGAACAGATTGCCCAGTGATGTGGTTGATGCCCTGTCCTTGGAGACTTTCAAGGCAAGGCTGGAACAAGACCTAGGCAGCCTGGTGTAACTGTGGTATCCCTGTTCACTGCAGGGGTGTTGGACTAGATGGCTTTTAGAGGTCCCTTCCAACTCTGAGGATTCTATGATTCTGTAATCTCACCTTTAGCATTCTTGGATTAGTAAATTGACACCCGTTTTTTAGGCAACTGTTAGATGTATATTACCCCTACATGGGGCTGTATTATCAGCTGTCGTGCTTCACAAGTAGCCTGTGAGACATGGGTTGGATACTCCTGGTCTAAAGCCTCTCTTAGGAGAGTTTTTCCATATACCAATCACAGACATGAAATGCTTTGGTGATCTGAGACAGCAGAGTTTGAAATTCAGACCAGCGGATCCTGTGGCCTCTTCAGTAACTCACATTTTGATGTCCAGGAATACTGTAGTCTGAAGTATTTTACATTAGTAAACAGAGAAAGAAGAGCGTAAGTGAATCCTTCTCTCTTATTCAAAGAAACTTTAATTTCCACTTAATCCCTTATTATATTAAATATGAATTCAAGCCTTTATGATATGAATTACATAAACTGTATGTGATTTGAAATGTTTGTGGATTTTTATTGGTATGACCAAGACTGTTTCATCCCCCGCAAGCCTGCTTGGCTGACCAGTGCCCCATTTTTCATAGAATCATAGAATGGTCTGGTTTGAAAAGGACCGCAATGATCATCTCGTTTCAACCTCCCTGCTGTATGCAGGGTCACCAGCCATCAGACCAGATGCCCAGAGCCACATCCAGCTTGGGCCTTGAATGCCTCCAGGCATGGGGCACCCACAACCTCCTTGGGCAACCTGTTCCAGTGCGTCACCAACCTCTGAGTGTAAAACTTCCTCCTATCTCTAACCTAAACCTCCCCTGTCTCAGTTTAAAACCATTCCTTCTTGTCCTATCACCATCCACCCCTGTAAACAGTCGTTCCCCCTCCTGTTTATACACTCACTTCAAGTATTAGAAGGCCACAATGAGGTCTCTCTGGAGCCTTCTCTTCTCTAAGCTAAACAAGCCCAGTTCCCTTAACCTTTCCTCATAGGAGAGGTGCTCCAGCCCGCTGGTCATCTCAGTGGTCCTACGCTGGACTCCTTCCAAGAGCTCTGCACCTTTCTTCAGGGGCCAGGCTATGTTGTGTGTGACACCAATTCTTCAAGATATTTAACTGGTGTATAAATGTGTTTAATAGATCAACTCACATATGTATATTTAGGCAAATCCATACGAGTCTGGAGGAAGCG